TTGGAGCTGGACAGTAAATCAAGGATGTTCGGGGCCCCGAAGACCCGTCGCCATCGGTGTGAAAGATGCTGAAGGGATTTGGGGAGGGACGACTGTAGTAACCTCCCCCTGAGACCCACAAGACACTGAGGAAGGTCCTGGCTCAGCAGCTGGAATTGAATCTTGGACCTGTAATCTCAATTCTCGGTCAAAGAGGGACAGATGGTCCCGTTCATATCCCAGCAAGGGACCCTGGTCCAGGGTCTGCTCGGGAGACCAAGCCTGTGTAAGAGGGGAAGGTCGATGCTCCCCTGATGTGGATGCAAGAGGAGGTGAGGGGATAAGCTGCGTCTCTCCTGTCTGCCGCTGGGCTTTGGAGAATTGTCGCTCCAGCACCCCATGTCTGCTATCTGCTTGCTTGCCATCGACCTTAGAGGTCCGTTTGACCTTGGCCTTGGCTTTTGCAGGTGTATCCAGACTGGATGGCTTGCGTTTTATATTTCCACTGGAGGTGGATGCCTGTGAAATGGTGTTATCCGCCATATTGAAATAAACAATAGGAAATAAACAACAGGTGTTCAGCAGGAGATCCCTGGATCTGGCCTGTACTGCAGTAGAAGAAAAGACAGGTTGTCACCAGGAGATCCCTGGATCAGTCCTGTTCTGCAGGAGAAGAAAGGGCAGGTTTTCACCAGGAGATCCCTGGATCGGCCCTTGGTCTGCAGGAGAAAGGAAGGCCACGGCCCACCTGGGTGGTACAGGCCTGCACGAGGGTCTGTGAGGTCCGGCCCACCGTTAAGCACGGAGTCACTACGCGATATAAGCCACGCTACGCTCAGGGCCTGTCCTCCCCATTCAATTTTTCAGGCCCACTGTAATAGAGACAATTTGGCCGAAAAGGTATCAAATTAAAGATAAGTCTATATATGAATATAGATATATATCTTGTTTATTTTAATTCTGTTTTATTTTAATTGATTTCTTTTGACCCTCGTGTCTCACTTAGTGACGGCTAGGACAGTAAGTGCCGACCACTATGCAGACAGCGGAAAACAGGCAAGGCAAGCAGCCATCCAATCTGTTGGCACTGGATATTTAAAAGGTACTGGTAAGTCACAGTCTGGAATATTACCAGATAAAATGGAGTGAGAGACTCAAGGTATTTTCCCTATGTCCACTAGGCAACCTGAGATGGTGCTTATTAAGCAGCTGAATGAAGATCTAAAGGAATGTAATTAGAACTCTTATTCCTCCCCCCACTTAGGGAGAATCACCAAATAAGTAAGTTACTTCGTGACTGAAAAGGCTGTAATTAGGACAAAGCAGTCAATTTAATGTGTGTGATCGGGCAGAGCCCAAAATGGCGGCCGGGACAATCTGATGAGAGATGAAACAAGCTGAGAAAAAAAATCCTCTCCTGCAAGTAATCTGGTAATCAGCTCTTTTAGTCAAACAGTTCACCTGCTTTTTTTTTTTTTTTTGGTAATTTACAGCTGACAATCAACAGTAACAAGGAAGTACTTGAGTAGTGTGAGGATCGAGCCTTCTAGAGGCTCAAAATGGCGCCCGCAGGTTGTTTGAATTGGTAACTAACCTAAGAAGGTGATTTCAGTTTTCAGCTCAAAATTAGTAGTTTAGCTTCGCATTCACAGCGAAGATCTTGGGAGGGGGTGGGGGAGGTGGATTGTAATGAGGAGGCAGCAATCTACGATCAGCTGTCTGCCTCTGAAAACTCACGGAGAAGGGATTGATTAAGAGAGAAGAAATGGTGCAGCACTGAGCTCAGAGCTGAACCAATCCCCCCCCCCCAAAGAAGGAAAAAAAGGATAGAGAAGCCACGAATGGCAATAACTACCTTTCTGAATCTAAATTAGGAGCCAAATTCTCATGTGTCTTCAGGGCTGAGACCAAACGAAAACTGGGGCATGGTCAGACCCTGCAGAGGCGTGGCAACTTTGATTGTTTGGTCTGATTGGGCTAGAAGACTAAATCAACCCATGCGTGGAGTCTACATTCCTCTACATGCTGGAGAAAGGAGAGGTTCCTCTGTTGACCATGTCCCCAGTGGAGAAGCGGAGGGCCCCAGGAGCAGATCAAAAGGCGGCACTTCGGTTTGTGAGGTCTCCAACCTGGCCAGCCTCTGTGCTTTAGAGAATTCCTTCTCTAGGGCTTGGTGTCTCCTGGTAGCCTGTTTTTCAGTTCTCTTGGAGGTCTTTGGGGTAGACCTGGCCTCGGCCTTGGCCAATATCTTACCTGCGGCCTCTTGATTAGAGGATTTGTGGCGTTTTGCAGTCGAGAAGGACAGCAAGATGTCCTTTGTGGGGGGCTTAGTATACTCCATTCTCGGGTAACAAGATTACGATAGGGGGCCCCTGGTATCCGGAGACTGCTATTGGTTGGATAAGAACAGGCACACTATAGGGGACGCCTGGAATCCAGATAGAGCTGATTGTGTGGATAAAAACAGGCGCACGGTAGGGGACGCCTGGTATCCAAACAGAGCTGTTTGTGTGGATAAGAACAGGCGCACAATAGGGGACGCCTGGAACCCAGATAGAACTGTTAATATAATTGGCCCAGGATCCCAAAGACTAATCCTGGTTTTCAGAGAGACCTGGAGACACCAAGAACCCAGAAATTGAATCCAAGGAGATTAAATGTACGTGAAAGAAAAGGAACAAACCAGATAGAGCCAAACCTGCTAAGCAGGCTGTGAAATGGATATATTACAGGCCTGAGTGACTGTGGAGATCAAATACTGACTGAGGTCTGACAGGCCTTGGAATGGTGTTAGGTAAGGTTGTATTTAGAGCAGATGAAGAAAGTAGGCCTGAGGAGTCTAGCAGGTCTGCTCTGAGGCAACAGTGGCTGTGCAGGATCCCTGTGCAAACTGAGGCTCCAGAGACTTCAAATGATGGCTGCAGGGGAGAAAAGAGCGCAGAGCAGGCCCCAAGATGGCGGCCTCAAGAAAGACCCAGTCCCAATAAGGGACTCAAAAAGGCTGCCACACCCAAAAAGGCTGCCACACTCCAAATGGCAACTCAAAATGGCTGCCACACTCAAAATGGCTACCTGTCAAAATGGCTGCCACAACCAAAATGGCCACCACACTCAAAATGGTGGCCACACGAGGTCTGGCCACAAGCTCCGATCACGAAGAAAGACTGGAAAAGAGGTAATTGGCCTTCCAAACACGCACCAGCTGCATACAGCCGTTTTTAGCCTTCGCGCATGTCCAGAGGCTTTTCCAGGCAATGGGGAACTGTGGAGGGCTGAGGAGCAGCACTGAGCCCAATGCTGTCCAAGAGGAGAAGGAGGACTGTGTTACAGAGGGGAAGCAAGCCTTTATGGTTGGAAGTGGGGGGGGGGGGGGGAAGGAACGAAAACCTCCGTTCCTAGCTAAAGGCAAACAGTTCTTCAGCCAACTGAGAGGAAAAAACACAGTGCTGAATACAGCACTGTCACAGAAGACTGAAGAGAATAGAGAATAAAGAATCCACCAATGGAAACTGTACCTGCCTAAGAGCCAACTTGCTACATCTGTCTTGGGCAAGATCAAGTCGAGACTGGGACACTCTAGCCCAGGACAGGCGTTGCAACTTTGGCTGACTTGATCTGATTTGGCAGGAACACAGTCTAAACCCATTGGTGGAATTTATCTCCAGTGCTGGAGAATAGCTTGACTCCCTCTTCTTTGTGGCAACCCGAGATATTGGAACACTGCTATCATGTCACCCCTCGTCCTCTTCATTAAACTAGACATTCCCAATTCCAGCAACCATTCCTTGTATGTTTTAGCCTCCAATCCCCTAATCATCTTTGTTGCTCTTCTCTGTACTTTCTAGAGTCTCAACATCTTTTTTAGATCGTGGTGACCAAAACTGGATGAAGTATTCCAAGTGTGGCCTTACTAAGGCATTGTAAAGTGGTATTAACACTTCACATGATCTTGATTCTATCCCTCTGTTAATGCAGTCTAGCACTGTGTTGGCTTTTTTGGCAGCTGCAGCACACTGCTGGCTCATATTTAAGTGATTGTCCACTAGGACTCCAAGCTCCGTCTCACAGTTACTACTATTGAGCAAGGTACCACCTATACTGTACCTGTACATTTGGTTTTTCTTGCCTAAATGTAGAACCTTACTTTTTTCACCACTGAATTTCAGTTTGTTAAATAGTGCCCAATGTTCAAGTCTATCCAGATCCTTCTGTATCTTAAGTCTATCTTCTGGAGTGTTGGCTATTCCTGCCAGCTTGGTGTCGTCTGCAAATTTGATGAGTTCCCCATCTATCCCCTCATCCAAATCATTGATGAAGATGTTGAATAGTACTGAGCCCAGAACAGAGCCCTGGGCCACCCCACTACAGACTTCCTTCCATGTAGATGCAGTTTCACTGAAGACCACACCCTGAGTATGGCTAGTCAGCCAGCTACGAATCCATCTGGTGGTGATGCTGTCTAGCCCACATTTTTCTATCTTATCAAGTAGTAGGTTGTGGTCTACTTTATCAAATGCCTTACTGAAGTCCAAGTAAATTATATCCACAGCATTCCTCTGGTCCACTAATTTTGTCATCTGGTAAAAAAAAATGCAGTAAGATTTGTCTGGCATGATCTGTTTTTGACAAACCCATGTTGGCTTTTGGTAATGACTTTGTTTGCCTCTAAGTGTTCGCCGATTCATTGCTTGATTATTTTTTCCAAGATCTTCCCAGGTATTGAGGTCAGGCTGATAGGTCTGTAGTTTCCTGATTCCATTTTTTTTTTCATTTTTTGAAATACTATGGGTTTGATTGGCTCATGATCCATAAAATGGCGGGGAGGTGTCTATTTCCTTACTGTAGTACTACAATTTATGCTAAGTCGTGTTCATACTTATGAAGTTCATAGTCTTTAATATAGCTGGTACAATCAAATGTTTACTTTGTATCTGGGCAAGAAGAAAATAATTTTCGGAGAAGGATAAATAAGTCATGATAATTACTTTGAATTATACAAGCTAAGAATATATCTTTCTCACCTTAAGGTTTTCTCTCCAAAGTACATGAAAAGTTCCTTCCCCAAAGTTTCCACGCCATAGTACATACATCCATTAAGCACCTTTAAGAAACTCTGGCACAAATTCTTATTTCCGGAAATCTAAACAGTTTGAAAATATTAACAAAATAAATGTTAGGAAATAAGTTTAAGTTTGTTTTCACATTTATCCATTTATGAGACATAATTCATTTCAGGTGGTTCTCAATATATGACAACAATTGAGCCCAAAATTTTTGTTGCTAAACAAGGCAGTTGTTAAGTGAGTTGTGCCTTATTTCATGATCTTTTTTATCACAATTGTTAAGTGAATCTCTGTGGTTAAGTGAATAATGTGGTTACTAAGTGATTCTGGCTTTCCCTTTTGACTTTGCTTATTAGAAATTGACTAGAAGGTTAAAAATAGTGATCCCATGACCTCAGGACAGTGAAACTGTCATATACATGCCAGTTGCCAAGCACCTGAATTTTGATCACATGACTATGAGGATGCTGTAACGTCATGTGATAAAATAATCATAGGTCACTTTTTTTCAAGTGTTGTAACTTTGAACGGGCACTAAATGAATGGTTGCCTAAGTCAAGGACTACTATATAGGATACAGAAAGAACTGCCCTTATGCCAACAGTATATTAAAAAAGTCTAGTTTCCTCACCACTGAGTTAAAGCATTATTTACTCAGTCAGTACAAAACAATGCTGACATAATATTTGATATTTTCTTTGTCAATTCCTATCCCACCTTGGCTGCATCTATTCTAAGTCATTTCTAAAATAATTGGTTCGCTTCTCTGGTTTTGCTACCATTACTTTTTAATACATCACAGCTATCATGGAAAACACCATCCAGTGCTTTACAGCAGGAATCCAAAAGATCTCATTGAAATTTTGCCTAAGCTCCGCTTGGCTGACATGTATCTCTTCTTCCATATCCCATTTGGGCATCACCCAAGTTAAAATAATTAACATTATAATAATTAAGAACTACAAAACATATGGAAAGACTTCAGGGCAGAATAGGCCCAATGGAGATAAAAACAGACCTTATTATGGGTATATAATTATTTCTATCCAGGAAAGCAGGAATAACTAAAGCTGGCTAGCTTATGAAGAACAGGATTTCATGCTTGGCAAGAAAGGCTGTGATTGAATATAGAGACTTGGCATACAAGTGCAAATTTGTTCTTTTTCTTCAAATGAAAGAGTTGGGGGTCTGCTGACCTCTTAATTATTTAGTTGGAAGCCTGGAAACATGTTGATGTCAAAATTATGTCTGGTATTAAAAAAATCTCAGTGATGTCTGCAAATGATAATGGCACATCATAGGCATTACTGAGGTCAAGGCATGATGGTGACATAGGTAAATGCAAGTAATGAAAAAGTCACAGCATTGTTAATATCATTCAATATAGATCCTATAATATTAGTCTTGTCTTTTATGTTCATCAGCTGAGGCCCTCCTTTGTCAGTACCCACCGGAGTGTTATTTTGTTGTGATCCAAGAACAAGATCAAATTCAAATTATGCAGAATCTGAAAACTACTGCCCTACTTATAAACATTTGCTAATGTTTTATATTTGACTACTGTGTAGAAGATATATATTTAATATTGTACCATATAGAGATGTATGGTTTGAAAGGTGATTCATACTTTAATAAACAACAGGTTTTCATAAAAATGCTAATATAAATGCTATATTCATATTAGTTTAGAAGCTGGATGTCATTGAATCAAGCAATTCTGGAATTCTTAAAGAAACCATCTTTAAATACTATTCTCAAGTGTTGTAGTTGGATATCTGAGAGAAGGAAAAACAATCTTGTTCCCAAGCAATTCAGATAGGAAACTTTAGAAAAATATGTAATATGAGGTTATTTTCAGATGCAATACAGATTCTATCTCATTATTTCATAATCTATTTTTACAGCTGAATGCCTATAAGAATATGTAAACATACTTGGTAGTGACCTATATTCATATTTATTTGCTAATTGCCTATGAAACTCATAGGAGAAAGGAAAGGAAATTTATCCATTCACTCAAAGCAATCACCACTATTGATAGAAAGCTGACATCTAAAAACTCAAATAACTAAATAATACTGCTTATTTAAATTATAAGTTGATTTTAATGGACTATGGGAAAAGAATTCTAATATCAAAATTGCAATTGTGAGGTAAGAACATTAGGCAAAGATTCCATATATACAAAATGTGGGTAAGATAGCATCACCACAAAATGCATTCACAGCTGGCTGACCGGCTGTACTCAGTGTGTGGTCCTCAATGGAACTGCATCTACATGGAGGGAAGTGTGCAGTGGGGTGCCCCAGGGCTCTGTTCTGGGCCCAGTACTATTCAGCATCTTCATCAATGATTTGGATGAGGGGATAGATGGGGAACTTATCAAATCTGCAGACACCAAGCTGGCAGGAATAGCCAACACTGCAGAAGATAGGCTTAAGATACAGAAAGATCTTGACAGACTTGAACATTGGGCACTATCTAACAAAATGAAATTTAATGGTGAAAAAAGTAAGGTTCTACATTTAGGCAAGAAAAACCAAATGCACAGGTACAGTATAGTGGTACCTTGCTCAATAGTAGTAACTGTGAGAGGGATCTCGGAGTCCTAGGGGACAATCACTTAAATATAAGCCAGCAGTGTGCTGCAGCTGACAAAAAAGCCAACATAGTGCTAGGCTGCATTAACAGAATCAAGATCATGTGAAGTGTTAATACCACTTTATAATGCCTTGGTTAAGTCCACACTTGGAATACTGCATCCAGTTTTGGTCAGCACGATGTAAAAAAGATGTTGAGACTCTAGAAAGAGTACAGAGAAGAACAACAAAGATGATTAGGGGACTGGAGGCTAAAACATACAAGGAATGGTTGCTGGAATTGGGAATGTCTGTTTAATGAAGAGAAGGACGAGGGGTGACATAATAGCAGTGTTCCAATATCTCAGGGGTCAAGCTATTCTCCAAAGCACCTGAAGGCAGGACAAGAAGCAATGGATGTTAACTCATCAAAAAGAGAAGCAACCTAGAACTAAGGAGAAATTTCCTGACAGTTAGAACAATTAATCAGTGGAACAATTTTCCTCCAGAAGCTGTGAATGCTCCAATGCTGGAAGTTTTTAAGAAGAGACTGGACAGCCATTTGTCTGAAATGGTATAGGGTTTCCTGCCTGAGCAGGGGGTTGGACTAGATGACCTGCAAGGTTCCTTCCAATTTTTATTATTATTATTATTATTATTATTATTATTATTATTATTATTATTATTGTTGTTGTTGTTGTTGTTGTTGTTGTTGTTGTTGTTGTTGTTGTTATTATTATAAAATGCAGATATATTTTTCTTAATCCTTCAGAAATTAGAGGGAAAAAAAGTTGAAAATGTATTTTAAAAGCCGAACCCAAATTTCATGACATTTAGCAATTAATTTAGCAATATTTTAGCAGTATTTGCCATTCTACTATAATATCTTGACATTCTTTATGGAGTATCTTCCCAGCTACATACACAATAGTAAATAATTAAAAGACTCAAGATTGCTGTTTTCGCAGTTGCTAATTTCCTTTTGAATTTTTAAATTCCTTTGTGAAATAAACATGTTGTAAACTGAAGGTCATGGTGTAAGTTGATTACTTCAGATACGATTAGACATTGTCATTGGGTTCATGAAAGCAGAAAGTGATTAGGGATAATTTTAAGCTTTCTTGAATATAACTTTCAGTGCCAGAATCAGCTGTGAATAGCTAGATGTAAATCAAGAGAATATCACAGGAATAGTTTCTTCTTAGTATATTCTCTTTAGTGATATGTTAGATCAGGGATGTCAAACTGCCGGCCCACGGTCTGGTTGCATCATATGGCAGCCGGGCCCACCCCAGCTGCGGCAATGCAAAAAAAGTCATAATATGTTGCAGCACATCACGTGACATGGTGAGTTTGACACCCATGTGTTAGATCATTGCTTACTTTTTTTTAGTTGCATGCACTTCCGCAGCTTCTTTGATCCCTGTAACAACTTCCCTTCCCAGCAAGAGGTGATCAGGTGGGAACATATCTCACAACTGACTTAACCATGAATATTCAAGCACTCAGTAAAGCAGACTAGAAAAATGACAGGGCTTTCTTGCTGTGAACATTATGTATGAGTGAAGCTTACTTTTAAACAAATAGTAGCTTGATAATATAAAAGTGTTCCTGAATTATATATTTCTACAGAGGGAAAATTTCTTGCTTTTTTGCTACTACAATAAGGAAAAACCATCCAGTCCACAAAAAATGAAAGTTTATAATCCATCCTTTGTTGAACCATACTCCTAACCAGGGCCATAATACTGTAGGTACTAGCAGGGCTTTTTTTGGTCATAGAACGCCCAGAACGGAGTTCCATCACCTGTTTTGAATAGAACCTTGTACGGTAGGCAAGGTGGGTTGTATGACGTATGTGAGTTCTGGCACCATTTTTTTTTTTTAACAAAAAAAGCACTAGGTACTAGTATTGAATATTAAGTCATACAAGCCAGGAAAAATTTTACTGGATGAGCTGCTATATGTGCAGACTGATCTCTGGTTAAACCCAATCATCTAGCTCAATATCCAAGATTATAGGAGTTTAATATCTAGCACTGAGCCCAGTTGTAGGACTATCTGTGGGGCAGGATAGTAATGCCAGGACACATTTAATGTAAATGCACTTGTAAATTATCTGCATAGTAGTAGCACTGAGATATTTAAAATAAATGCCAACCATGACCTTCAGCTACAATCAACAAACCAAAATATAGAATCTACCAAATATTTTTCCTCTAGTTAAAAATCCATGAACACTTTGTGGATCATGTTCCCACTAATGGCATTTCTTTGCCTGCATTCAAACAAAGACAGAGACAGCAATTCTCTTGGTATATCCATCCCACCAATCAGAATTCAGGCTTAGCTCTTCACAGCTCATTAATCCAAGCTGCTCATTTATATTCCAACATCTTTTCTCCTATAAAGTTCCACAAGCCCCAACAGGGTAATTTTATGCTGGCAACACTAGTGATCAAAACTTGCAGAGAAGTGGCATGCTGTGTACATGGGAAGCAAAGAAAAAAAAATCCTCTTGTCCTAAGCCTTTACACCAATAGTATGTCTCATTAGCACATTTTTAAATAAACAAGTCCATCCACCCAGTTTATATATTTATATAGATGTATGCCAATTTCTGAATGTGATCTTTTTGCATGGTAATGGCAGTTATTCTATAGTGGATGTTCTATAACTGACTTCTTTATAATAAACAAATAAAATTACCATCTTTCTAATTAGACGGAGTGAGTGGAAAACACTTTCCTTATTATTTCTTACATGTGTTCGATGTTTGCCAGAGTTCTTCCAACTCTTTATATTAATCAGACTTGTTACGGTTGATTTATTATGTTTATGATAGGAATATATTACAGATGTTGGTTATTTTGTTTTAAGAGTATTGTGAAAGGAGAGAAAAAAGCCACACAAAAAACCCCTGCCAGAAAATCTCTCTGGTAGTCAAAAAACTTATGATTACCGAGAAAGAGATGACTGTGCTGGTTATGTTAACCTCATATCAATCAGTCATGTCTTTTGCAATTCTCATATGCAAAGGACTCTTGTGATAAACGATTATTTAGTAACTGGGCAGCTTGCATATGCTTAATCTTTAGGAACAAGAGGCTGTCAAACTCTACAGCAGCCTGCACAGTACTGCACATTGCCAATCAGATGTACTGTAGATGAAATTCAGGCCAGGCTTGCCATACAATTAATGAAAGAACCAACTGGAATGCCTAAAATTAGGGATACTTTAATCAAGCATATACTCATTTTCCATTTTATAATCCGCAAAGTAGCTTGAATTCAATAACTTAATAGGTTTAACCCAACCGTAAAACAAATACTAAGGATTAGCCTAGATGAGTTGTTTAAGTTGGTTACCTGTCTATTGAATGGCACTGATGTCTTGGCAGAAATGATTCAGACAGGAATTCTAGCAGTTAGAATCTGTTTCTGCTACTCCGGATTTTAGTCATTATTAACAGTATTTGTGAATAGGTACCTGCCTCTCAATGGTATGGGAACCAACTGCTACTTATGAATACTTTCTGCTCTCCACAGACTTCAACACCAGAGCATGGTTGCCACAACCGCTTTCCCTCATTTAAATGAGTTAGGGCAATTAAGTGACATGGATTCTTGGTCCTACCTAGTGCTATTAATTTCATATTTACAATTCCGCACACACAAAAAACATGCTTTGAAAGATTCCTCAGTGTGGTTTGCTGCCCTTGTCTCGGGGAAGAGCGCAGAAAAGGAAACTGCCGCATCCAGCTCGGGCCTAATTGCAATCCAAGAGCTCTGGGGAGGAATGTGAAGTTTGTGCCCGCTCCTCCGTGGTAGAACTTCGGGCGCTACTAACCTTATCCGAGACGCCGTCAGCGGCTCTTCTCTTTGAGGCTCCATCTTGCGATGCAGAAGGGACCAGTGCAGTTCCCCGCACACACCTCACGATTTGACCCGGTGCTATTCGACTACTGATCTTCTCCCCGTTCAGCTTGCAACCGGGACCTTCCACCATATTGGAGGGAAAAGGAAAAACGGCTGGCGAAGCTTTATTCAAATTTCGCGCCGCCACTCCTGCATAACTATTCCACCCAAGCCGAGACAGTGAGCTTTTGGTGATCTCACAAACACAAGCAGAGAGAGCGTGGGAGTCCGATTTCTCCTGAAAAGTTTTTGAACAGCGGGCTCCGGATGTGAGTCTTATTTTTCTTTCTTAAGCATAAAATGTGCTCCTTTTCATTCGAAGTTCATGGGCAATATAAACAGTCGAACTCCTTTTCCACAAACAAGAAAACGAAAATAATTTCTCCCAGCATCCAAGTTTTGGATTGCTTCAGGTTAAAACTTAAATTAAATTAAATACCTTGTTGCAAGCTGCTTCCACTGTTTCTTTTATATTGTAAAAGATATTGAGATTTTTTTTTCAGTAAAGGTTATCTCAGTCTATCCTACCTTTAACAAGATTGTTGTAAGGAAAAAGGAATGTGGCTTGTAGCTGGAAGAAAGGAGACCTATAAAGGTGAAAATAATTTTTAAAAAAAGCAGGAGAAAAGGAAACTTTTAAAAGGGGAGCTATAGAAGCTGGTTATTTTAATTGGGATCAGACTGTAGGGAAAGGAAGCCCAATCTTCACATTTTGTAAAACGTTCAATTTCATTGCTCCTTTGCATTTGTTAGATCAGTCTTCCCAACATACGTTTTAAAATTACTCTGAATCAGGCTTTCTGGTTATACTGACTGATGGAAGGTATACTCCCATCTCAAGACCCCAGGAAGGAAGAAAGAAATGGAAGAAAATTTCCAGATAAAACTGTTAACACAGCATATTCCATATTTTACTTTTTAGATTACAGGTAGTCTTCAATTTACAACTATTCATTTAGTTACCATTTGAAGTTAAAAGGCCCCTGAAAAAAGTTATTTATGACTGTTTTTCACACAACTGTTGCAGCATCCCCACAATCACATGATCAAAATTCAGATGCTTAACATATTTCTGACAATTGCAGGGCCCCCAGTCTTGTGATAATCTTTTGAGACTTTTTGACAAGCAAAGTCAATGGGGAACCCAGATTCAGTTAACCATGTTATTAAACATCTGCAGTGATTCACTTAACTTGACAAGAAAGTTCATAAAATGGGTAAAAACTGTCTTAGCAACAGAAATTTTGGGCTCAATTGTTGTCATAAGTGGAGAACTACTGTATTTTGTTAGTTTTAATTTGTCATATGATGCAATTTATTGAATATGTGTGTATAGTTGGTGTTGTACTGTTTTGGTCATGATTCTTATTGTTTCTGAAAATAGATCATAACATTACTTTCCTAGATATATATATATGATGGAAAATCAGATTATTCTATCTCTTACAAAAAAATTATTATATTGGAATATTTGAAGCAAAAAGATCTCAAATTGCCCCCAAGGATTATTAGAAACTTGGCTGTGACCAGCAATATTCCAATATGCCTTGCTTCATTTAAGTGTGAGAAGTAGCATTAGTAGAAATAATATTATAAGCTCATCCTATCAAATGTGACTCTTTCTTTGGTCAAATGTGCACTAAATCTAATCTTAGAATAAGGCTCCTTCTCTGCATGCCTGTCATGATGTTCTTCAAGAAGATTTAGACTGTACAAAAAAGTACAAAATCTTATGGATGCTTCTAATTTGATACCTAGTAGTGCTATCAGTTAAAATGTGCTTTACAACTCACATGCATGTGAGATGGAAAAAGTAGTTTAAGGTTTTCCACTTAGCCTCACAATTGTCCCAGCATTACTCAGGAATTTAAAAGAGCCAAAGAAACTCCTGAGCTGAGGTTTCAGCAAGCAAAACAACTTTTATTTTGATCAAAATAGAGTTAGGTGACCCCATCTCTCTTGGCTAGTAGAGAGATGAAGGCAACAACCAGGAAAGATGTCTTCCACCTTTTATACCTTTCCAGAACAAAGAGATCAGGTCTTTGTATCAGGAACGAAAAGATACAGAAAAATAATTCCAAGATGATGACTCATACACAGCAACCCAGGCTCCATCCGTAATTCCTTTTCCCCCTCCCCTTATCGTGCTCTTTTCATATAAGCAGCCACCTGTACCTAAAGCATGAAACATTTCCTTCTATATAACTAATTTACCCCCTTTATGGATTACTGCCTTGTCATGGCGAAGGGGCTTGTGTAACTCAATGAAGCTATAAGCTATGCCGTGCAGGGCCACCCAAGACGGACAGGTCATAGCAGAAAGTTCTGACAAAATGTGATCCACTGGAGAAGGAAATGGCAACCCACTCCAGTATCTTTGCCATGAAACCCCATGGACAGTACTAAAAGGCAAAAAGATATGACGCTGGAAGATGAGCCCCTCAGGTTGGAAGGTGTCCAATATGCTACTGGGGAAGAGCAGAGGGCTAGTACTAGTAGCGCCAGAAAGAATGAAGCGACTGGGCCAAAGCTGAAAGGACGCTCAGCTGTGGATATATCTGGTGGTGAAAGGAAAGTCCGATGCTGTAAAGATTTTTTCTCCATAGGAACCTGGAATGTAAGATCCATGAATCAAGGCAAGCTAGACGTAGTCAAAAAAGAGAGGACAAGACTGAACATCGATATCTTAGGAATCAGCGAACTAAAATGACAGGAATGGGTGAATTTAACTCAGATGACCATCAGGTATACTACTGTGGGCAAGAATCCCTCAGAAGAAATGGAGTAGCCTTCATAGTCAATAAAAGAATAGGAAAAGCAATACTGGGATACAATCCCCAAAATGACAGAATGATCTCAATTCGAATCCAAGGCAAACCATTCAATATCACAATAGTCCAAATCTATGCCCCAACCACTGGTGCTGAAGAGGATGAAATTGACCGTTTTATGAAGCCCTACAGCACCTTATAGAATTAACACCAAAAAATGATGTCCTTATCATCATGGGGGATTGGAATGCTAAGGTAGGAAGCCAAAAGATAACCGGAATAACAGGCAAGTTTGGCCTTGGAGTACAAAATGAAGCAGGGCACAGGCTGATAGAATTTTGTCAAGAGAATACGATGGTCATAACAAACACTCTTTTCCAACAATCCAAGAGACGGCTCTACACATGGACATCACCAGACGGTCAACATAGAAATCAGATTGACTATGTGCTCTGCAGCCAAAGATGGAGACATTGTATAAGAGGTAGCAACTAAAACCATCCCAAAGAAAAAGAAATGCAAGAAAGCAAAATGGCTGTCTGAGGAAGCGTTGCAAATAGCTGAGGAAAGAAGAGAAGCGAAAGGCAAGGGAGAAAGAGAAAGATACACCCAATTGAATGCAGAATTCCAGAGAATAGCTAGAAGAGATAAGAATGCCTTCTTAAATGAACAGTGCAAAGAAATAGAAGAAAACAACAGAATAGGGAGGACCAGAGATCTCTTCAAGAAAATTGGAGATATGAAGGGAATGTTTCATGCAAAGATGGGCATGATAAAGGACCAAAATGGCAGGGACCTAACAGAGGCAGAAGAGATTAAGAAGAGATGGCAAAACTACACAGAAGAACTATACAAGAATGAGCTTAACGACCCAGATAACCACAATGAGATGGTCACTGACCTTGAACCAGACATTCTAGAATGTGAAGTGAAATGGGCCTTAGAAAATCTGAGCAACAACAAAGCTAGTGGAGGTGACAGTATTCCAGCTGAGCTATTCAAAATCTTAAAAGATGATGCGGTAAAAGTGCTACACTCAATTTGCCAGCAAATTTGGAAAACTCAATAGTGGCCACAGGATTGGAAAAGGTCAGTTTACATTCCAATTCCAAAGAAAGGCAATACCAAAGAATGTTCAAACTATCACACCATTGCACTCATTTCACATGCTAGTAAAGTTATGCTTAAAATCCTACAAGCTAGACTCCAGCAGTATGTGGATCGAGAACTACCAGAAGTACAGGCAGGATTTCAAAGAGGCAGAGGAACTAGAGATCAAATTTCCAACATACTCTGGATCATGGAGAAAGCTAGGGAGTTCCAGAAAAACATCTACTTCTGCTTCATTGACTATGCTAAAGCCTTTGATTGTGTGGATCACAACAAATTGTGGCAAGTTCTTAAAGAGATGGGAATACTAGACCATCTTATTTGTCTCTTGAGAAAGCTATATGCGGGTCAAGAAGCAACAGTGAGAACTGGACACGGAACCACTGATTGGTTCAAAATTGGAAAAAGAGTCCGGCAAGGCTGTATACTGTCGCCCTGCCTATTTAACTTATATGCAGAACACATCATGAGAAAGGCAGGGCTAGATGAAACAAAAGTTGGAATTAAGATTACCGGGAGAAATATCAACAACCTAAGATATGCAGATGATACTACGCTAATGGCAGAAAGTGAAGAGGAACTAAAGAGCCTCTTGATGCGGGTGAAGAAGGAGAGTGCAAAAGTTGGCTTGAAACTCAACATTAAGAAAACCAAAATCATGGCATCCGGCCCTCTCAATTCCTGGCAAATAGATGGGGAAGAAATGGAGGTAGTGACAGATTTTATTTTTCTGGGCTCCAAGATCACCTCAGATGGGGACTGCAGCCAAGAAATTAAAAGACGCTTGCTCCTGGGGAGGAAAGCTATGGCAAATCTAGACAGCATACTAAAAAGCAGAGACATCACCCTGCCAACAAAAGTGCGTATAGTCCAGGCCATGGTTTTCCCAGTTGCAATGTATGGCTGTGAAAGTTGGACCATAAGAAAGGCTGAGCGCCAAAGAATTGAGGCCTTTGAACTATGGTGCTGGAAAAGACTCCTGCGAGTCCCTTGGACTGCAAGGCGTTCAAACCGGTCAGTCCTAGAAGAGATCAACCCCGACTGCTCTTTAGAAGGCCAGATCCTGAAGTTGAAACTCAAATACTTTGGCCACCTAATGAGAAGGAAGGACTCACTGGAGAAGGGCCTAATGCTGGGAAAGATTGAGGGCAATAGAAGAAGGGGACGACAGAGAATGAGATGGCTGGATGGAGTCACTGAAGCAGTAGGTGTGAACTTAAATGGACTCCAGAAAATGGTAGACAGGAAGACCTGGAGGAACGTTGTCCATGGGGTCGCGATGGGTCGGACACGACTTCGCAATTAACAACAACAAAACTAATTTATCAATATAAAGCACTTACAAAGCTTCTTGCACATAAACAAAGAT